TAACATTAAATGGGTTTGTTTGCTGTTTCCATGTTTAATAGATAGAGATGTCAGACAGCAGTTTGCTGAGGAAATCTTTTGTAATAAAAATATTATGTTGCTGTGAGTGTGTTAATGATTCTCCTGGGAAGCCAAGCACTTCAAGAAATACCATGAATGTCTGTATCATGGCAACAGAAGGATATGGCCAGAAAACACATAGCTGTAAGATGCCCACTGTCTAGGGCACATAAAATTTCCTACAATAAATATTTCATACCTCTGCTCTGAAATGAAGGCATCAGTGAGTGCTGTCTTGGTAGCCAGCATAATCGTCACTTAAGGAGTGTCAGCAAGCCAGGGTCTCTGCATCCCATTTGTATTATCCCTGGAAGCATTCAAGGTCAGGTTGGATGGGGCTCTGAGCAACCTGATCTAGTTGAAGATGTCCCTGCTCATTGCAGGGAGGTTGGACTAGATGACCTTTAAAGGTCCCTTCCAACCCAAACTTTTCAGTGATTCTGTGTCCAGCCTGAGGCAGGAGCTGTCCAGGGGAAGCCTGCAGAGGTGTCCTGGAGCCACACTGCTGTTCCCACTTGTCTGGGTCTTCCTGTCAGGCTTTATAAGTCTAGCAACAGATCTGATCTGGTAGAGGTGATGTTTAGTTAAGTGAGAGACGGCTGCTTGTTTCTCAAAATAGTAGGATGTGCCTTTATTATTTAGAGGCACTTCAAATATACATCACCTGTGGACAGGCAGGGACAACACCTTACCGCTGAGGGGCTAAAGCTGGATGATTCCTCCAGATCCCACAGCCCAGACAAGCAGACCTGCATCCTGCCTGGTGTCCACTGAGGGATGGCCAGTTTTTGCAATCCCAAATAAGGGCAAAGCCAGTTCTAAAGACAGATTTTTCTCCTGTGTGTAGCATCTTGTTGCAGTAACTCTCCTTTGTATGTTAATATTTGTAAGTGTTAATTTGCATAAATTATTTGCTAATTCAGCTTGTTGAAAAGCAGTGGGATGATTTGAGATGCAGAAATTGATAAACCCTTTGAAGCTGCTCTTTTGACTTTTGTTACTGGGGGAGTTGTATTTCAATTCCTGCTCACATATTCAGATACTGTAAATTGAGGCAGGATAACATCCTGATATTTTAAATACTTGGCAGGTCTGCCACAGAGGAGGCTTGTCAGTTACATTTGCTTAGAACTTTTTATATTCTGAGATTTCATCAGAAATTTCACCAGAACCTCTTCCTGACCAAAACCCCTTTAAGCACAGTTTTAGAACAGCAGCAGTCTTTCAGAGGGAAAAGTTTACGCAAGTTTTTTTCTGGGCAGGAGCCAACGCTTGCTGGAGGGCTGCCCAGAGGTCATTTCCTAGGGCTTCCCCTGCAACTCTGTTGTGCAGGCAGCAAGACAGTTTATCCCTTCTCAAAATCTGCTTGTTCCTCATATATAGGGATACTTGCCTACCTTCCAGTCACCTTCAGCCTCGATACAAACTGGTCTTCTTGTAGGTGCCAGTATCTCCTTCAGAAAAGAGCAGTGAGTGTGCTGTGATTGGGATCAGGGTGCAGAGCAGAAGGCATGCTCTGCCTCAGGGCTGACAAACACTGGCTTGCTATCAGTTGTATTTTAAGACCCTTTCAGGGTCATTTTGTCCTGTCCTGCTTTTTGTTGCTATTCTTGAGAAAGAACATTCCAGTCCTGCACAGAGAAATTTTGCAGGTTTAATTCAAGGCTTAACACCACACCAACGTGCAGCATGAACTCCTGTGTTCTGCAGGGGTGGTCTTAAGGCAAATGTGAGCTAGAAGACTAATTACAGTCAATACGAGAGACCAGATGGAGAGCCACATTCATCCCATTTCTTAAAGGAGAATGGGCAACTGATCCCAGTGTTGCTGTGAGACCATATTAAAGAGGTGCTATCTTTGTTCCCCTGTAAGAACAGGGATGAAAAATTGGGACCAAGGAACACTTGCCTCATTACAGCTTATCTCGTATTCAGAAAGTAGCTGCTTCAGCAGCCTCCCTTGCGGGGGCGGTGAAATCTGGTACAGCTTTGTGTCTGGAGACCCTTGGAGCAAGGCCACAAGACCAACCCTTGACAAATGTGGATTTAACACTGAGGCTGTGGGACATCCAACAAGCTGCACTGCATCAGCATGAAGTGTGCTGTAGGATTAGAAATTCTTTCTGAAAGTCTGCTTACTTTGCCTTTGAGGACTGAATCTGTATATTACCTTTTCTTTAAAAAAAAAGGAAATTACTCTAATTGGCCTAGTCATAGGGGAAGTTCTGCTAAAAATAAAATACTGGTTGAGGAGGGAACCTCTAAAACTCATCACTCCCATACTGTGAGACCTAATTTTCACTCACATGTTTTCAGTCAGATTTAGGACTGCCTTTGGCTTTAAAAAAAAAAAAAATTGCTGCTCCATACCTGAATGGTGGCAGATGGTCTTTGTTTCTTAATGAATTTTGGGGTTTTGTGTGCAATAGAGTTGAGGGATTTGCTTCCAGGGAAAATTCTCCCCAACACCTGCTCTTCTTAGAGACAGTGGTAGTGTCAGCTAGCCTTTACATCCATGGTTTTGCAAAAAGAAGACTTCTTGGAGATCTCTGCTGAGACTTTTTACATTCCCCTTCCCCAAAGCTGTTTAAAAGTAGAAAATTTTAACAGAGAGGGAGATGCCAAATCCAAAGAGAAGCTAAGGGTTGTGGGATTTTGGGGGACTGTGCTTATTTGTTTTGAGGATTGTGCTTATTTGTTTTTCTAAAGGCATTAAACACCTATTCTAAACAAAGGGCACATACAGGATTTGGATCCAAGACTCCAGCCTTTGTTGTACATGATACCCACCTGCTTCAGCTTTCCCCAGCTACAGGCCACAGGCAGGAGAAGAGAGAATGGGGAGAGGGGAACAGGCTCAAACAGCATATGCTGCTGTTGGAGCAGAATAAGAAGAAAAACTGAAGCAGCCGAGTGGTTCACTCCAGGTTCTGCAGTGCTCTGGTTTACCCTTTCTCCACTGCATATCTTAACGCTTTGTGCCCGAGATGCAGAGTACATAAGTAACAACTCTGTAGAAAGCCTGGGTGCCTCGCACTGAAGTGCTGTCTGAACACCAGCTGCTTCTCCCTGATTTATTTCTTGGAATTTGCCTCAATTTATTCGTTCCCTCCTGCTGCTGCAGGAGCTGAGTGTTAAGTGATAGGGAAGGTAAGAGGAATAACATGTGAATGCCAGAGGAGAGCAGCATGACCCATCATTAAAAAGCCCACCACAACTGTTGGTAAATCGATCCTTTGCTGTAGAAGAAGCTTGCCCACATCCCTGTAATGCATCCAGTAGGATCTCTGGGGCTAGCAGGGCCCCAGATCCACTGCTCAAACCGTAAATCACATTTTCAGGTTTGGGGACACAATTTCAGAACCTCCTGTTCCATTTACAGCTGTTGGTATCTACTGCTGTGCTCACTCCCACAGCAGGCAGCACTCAAACCACCAGTGCGAGGTCCTTGTTCAACGTTTCTCAGGACCATGGGGAGCCACAAAGCTTACCCAGTTCTGCACAGGACTGTCCTTCACTGTTAGCAGCTGCCTGCCCCTACTGAAGACAAAGCAAGTGCCCTGGTAAGGGGCCAAACAATCTGTGAAAATAGCCAAAGTGATGTGTGACACATCTAGGAAAGTCAGGCTGAAATACCCTGCTAGTTAAACACAGAAATTTCATATCTGATGAAAGACAGCTGGGTCCCATAATTTGAACATGGAGCTCACCACCACATCCAGCTGTTGAGCCCTGATTCAGACTATGATGAAAACCAGCTCCTTCCCCATTCCAGAGTGGCAGTACCACATGGAAAATGCATTAGAAGCAGTAGAGAGTGCCATCAGGACTCACTGTACTTCCTCTTAGCAAGGAACTGGCCTGAGACCCTCACAGGAACAGGTTGCAGACCCACAGTGGGTCACCATGGCTCCTATGGCCCTGCGCAGCCAGGCAGGGCACACAGCTACATTAGCATCCTTAAAACACAGAACTGCCTTGTGCTGCCCAATAATGTTGTGTTTTTCTAACACAGCCAGAAATCACTTGCAAGCACCTCTCTATTGCAAATACTTTCATGCTTGTACTGAAGCTGCAAAACTAACAACACTCTGAGCTGCAAAGGCGACAAGAAAACACTGTGCTATCAAACAAGAACCAGGACAAATAACTTTTTCCATGCTGTAGGCTCTACAACAAACTTTAATACTCTGGAATTACACACTGCCACCCACAGAGCTGCTCACAGCTACCCTGGGGAAAGCTTTAAAGCAAGAGAGTTGCTATAAATCCTTTTTGTCCTGCTAGCTTGACACTCCCTCTACCCCCAAATATTTTTGCCCTCTATTCCCTTAGAAAAGGGGATTGCACATAACATGGGAGTCACTCAGGAATCCAGATGTGTGCAAGAGAAGTCATGCACCTATGATTATTCTTCAGCAGGGGTTTCACCATGTCCTCAAAGAAAAAAGGCCAGTACAGGGCAGTAAGGACTCCTTTCTGCCTTTGAAGGATATACACCATCCCCTGCACCTCACAAATCAGTGGTGAAAATGCCCATATTGTTTTCAGTGTTCAAATCAAAAATCTAGAGGAAAGAGTCAGCAAAGTAAACAGGTTTCCTTCCAGTAGCCATACAAGAATGCAAAAGAATCCAGCATTCACGACCAATTTATCATTTTCCCCAAATCCTCTGCCCTGTATCTACAAGTTCCCAAATTCTGCAGTCAGCCAGATCTGCATCTGTGCCTTGAGGCAGAAGGGCATTATCCCAAATTACACAGAAATAGCAAAACCCAGGAGATGTTGCCAAGCTCTTCCAAGTCTCATGGGCGCAGGATGGCGGCAAGTGTTCGCTGAGCACTGCACAGTGTATTCCTCAAAGGTTTGGAAAAAAGATCAGAAAGATGCCATGGCACATGCTGCCACCACCTTCGTTGTGATACTTACAGAGCTGCAGTTTATAAGTTCAGCCAAGTGATGATGAGGAGGATGTTGAGGACAGAAATGTTGGGAACGTGGGTCCAGGCAAAGCTTTGGGCCATGCTGGGGCTGCAGAGGTCAAACAAGCTGCCTTGAAATTTGATTTTTCGAGACTCCCTTCTCAGCATCTCCCAGACAGCTGTTGCTTCCTTCTGGCACTCCCAGAGCGCCATCAGAGCACATGTGTGAAATTCATCCCAGTACCTGCAGCCAGGGGAGACACCACACCATCAGTCCTTTTGCAGTAGCACAACACCAAGGAGCCGGGCAGAGCCTTGCTGCCCTGAGCCCACCCTTCGAGCAGCAACAACCTTGGTATTTTGTCATTCCCTCCTTCATCACCCAGAGCATCTTGGCTAAAACTCCAAACCTCAAAACACACTGAGATTATTTAATGCTTCCCCCCCGCCCCAGAAGTCAATAAAATCTATTATTTTCCATCAACAAACATTTCCCTTTGGCATCAAGTACCCCAAGTATCTAAAATGGGCTGCAAACAAAGGCCCAGCATGTTTCATTCACAGCTTTCTCCAAGCTGAGTCAAGGGCAAAATGTGAGCACAAAGCAAGGAGGATGACATCTCCCACAGACTGTCGCAGCTTTATAACTAAGGTATGGGCAGAGGCAGGAGGAGTTATTCAGTATGTTCTCACTAGACATTTATCTGCTGGGTATTACCCTGTGCAAGGAGAAGCTGTTCAATGGAAAGAGGCTCCTGGGGAGCACCAGGGAAAAACAAGACAGGCAAAGATAACCCATGGTCCTCCAGGAATAAACCGGGAGCTGCTCACTGAAGCAGCTGGTTGTCTCCCCTGGGGATGGCAACTTGGATGGGTTGGGTTGGTTTGGGTTTTTTTTTTTGGGGGGGGTGGTTTTTTTGGTTTTTTTCAGATCCAGAGCTAGAACCAGGCAGGGAAAAACCCTGGCAGAAATGGGGCTGAAAACCACGGTTCCCAAGAGGACTCTCCCAGGAGGGGCACAGTGGACACCACCATACCAGTCCAGCAGGCTGGAGCCAGAGCCATGCCGGATAATCCTGCTGCTGTATATATCCAGAGCAGTATCCAGCCTGCCAAGGCTTTATCCCCTCCCTGAGCTCCTTCCTTACCTTTGGTGAAGTGCAGTGGCTCTGAAGAAGCTGGTTTTGAGCTGTTTCCAATGACCTCCCTGCCCACAGGTGTCAAGCTGAGCGGGGAGGGGTGGGCTCCACCTGTCCAGGGACAAGGACAGCAGGTACCAGGCTGGGCCACGTCCCACCATGTGGTATGGGGAGGACCAGAACAGGCACCCCGCCTGAGGTTTTTTTTTGGCTGCTAAGCATGGGAGGATTAGACTGTGTACCGGACTCCCCAAAAGCTCCTGTAGGTGCTGCTCTGTGACGGGGAGGGCACCCACAGCTGGCAGGCTGCTGTGTGCACACTAGCATGTCTGTAAGTCCCGACACAGCTGAATTCACAGGTGAGGTCTCCATTTTGTAGGTACAAACCCACAAAATAAACCAGCAGGAGCTTGAAAGTCTCAGCAAATGCCACGAGCCATCCTCTCCTCTGGAAGTGGTTTCTCTCCAAAAGAAAAGCTTCCCCAAGGGACAGGTAAGGTTCTATGCCATGCTTGCTGCTAACTTTCCCCCCATAACTTCTTTCAAAGAGAGTTTCTTTTACCTGCAAAGAGCTTTGCAAAAGCATTTCATATTGCAGCTTCTTTGGAGCAACACCATGCCCTGGCACCCGATGCCAGGCCAAGGCAGGGATCAGCCATGGACAGCATCCCTCTGGGTCCCAGCCAGCTCCCCAGCCTCTGCCAAGCTCGCAGCACCAAGCAACTCACACCCTGAGCCATCCTCCTGCCCTTCCTTCCCCTCCACCTCAGTTTTGCTGTCCCCGCCTTAGCTGGGGCTGGGCACCACCTCCAGACCATAATTTAACTGCAAGCTGGAGACTGCCTAGAGGACAGAAGCAATTGCTCTGCCACCTTCCCTGTCCCCACCAGGACACCAGGCACACATGCCATGCCTCAGGAAGGAGAAGCAGTCCAGCTGGCAAGCAGGGACCCTGCGCATGGGAAGGGGGTGGTTTGGTTTTGTCCAAGTGCCCTGTGCTGGAGACGACATCTTGCACAGGCACACAGACCTGAGCACTCTACTTAGTTTTCCTACCAGGGCTTATGTCAGAACACCAGCTGTGAGGGAGTTCATTAAACCGAGTCACTGTGGCAGAATAAATGTCCCCAGATAATGAGAAAAGCTGGTGCCAACCCAGGTAACCTCCCACACTAGCTCCCAAGCTGCAGCAGCAGCAGAAGGCAGTTCTGCCAGGTGAGGGTTAAACCTGGCCCATGCCTTCAGGCAAAGGACAGCTGGGGGATGACAGCTCCTGCCTGGTTCTGCTTTCAGCCTGAATGGCAGTTCCCAATGTTTCACCCTTCACAGCCTCCATCTACTCAGGCAGGCAGGCCAGCTCTGGGGCTGCACTGTGCATGCAGAACTGAGATGCAGCCAGTCCCATGCTGGCTCCCAGCTCCATATCCATCCCTCACCTGTGGTCTTGGAGAGGTGACCACAGCATGAGGAAAGCAGACGGCAGCAGAGAAAGCTAAGGGTTAAAGGCCAATAATTCAGAAATATCTCCTGGCAGGAAGCTGGGACATCATCACCTTTTTCCTCCAGCCACAGCAAGCACAGCTAGCTGTGCACCAGGACCGGCAGGAGAAGCTAGCACGTTCTTGAAGGTGCAGAGCCCCAGCCCTGCCGGTAGGGAAGATCCCAGGACCTGTTCTTTGCTGTTAGTGCCCCAGAACCTGTAAGAAAAACCTTATCTCACACATTTCATGTGAGTTTCAGCAGAGGAATCACTCCTCTGGCAGTCAACCACAACACATACTGGGCTGTGTGCTCGTTTTTTTTTCTGATACCAAGAAGCCACATGTTCAAAAGAGTATATATTACAGCCCAAAGCAGAGCAGTTCCCATTTCAACCCAGCTTTCAGCTACATCCCAGAGAGGATTTCCATCCTGAGCTAGGCTGTCCTGTGGAGAAGGGAGAAGAAAGAGCAAGTCACAGCCAACCTGCCATCAGCATATTTGCTGGCAGGGGAATGCACAAAGAAAAAAACCAAAAATTTAAAAATGTGGGCTAGTTAGTTTTCTGTTCTCCTTGAGCAAAATAGTTTTGTTAAAGTGTTTTCCACTTCTGGCAACAACCAAAGTTAAGATATTTCAGCTGGGGCAGGTGGGAGGGCTGGGGACGCTCTGCTCACCTTTGCAGCAGCACCAGCTCCTCATCCTGGCTTGCTCAGAGCCCAACCTGCCTGCACCAGTGTCCCAGATGCCCCTGGCCCTGCCACAGCCCCTACAGATGTCAGCCAGCTGTGTCAGTGCTGTGGAGCAGGTCCCAGAGCCTCCACCCCACCCCTAAGAGCAATGCCTTTCTCTCCCAGGGTGGTTTTCAGCAGCTTGGAAAGCCTGACCTGCGGGACACTCAGCCCTCCTCATTGCCCTGGCAGGTTTACTCCACCCCAAGACACATGGGTTTTCCCTTAATCACTGTCTTGTGTTTCCTTGTAACTCCTTTTCACTCCCCACAACTCACTGCTGGGGACACACAGCTGCCTCCATTTATCTCCACAAACATTTTATTTCCACCTTTCACTGCCCCACCTGACCGCTTCTGCTCATTTGCTTTTTAAGCAGACCTCTCCCCAAACCTACCCAACACTACCCCTTGTTACCCAACTCTTTTACTATTATTTCAGTTCTGCTAAAGTTAACATCCTCCCAACACCATCATCTCGCAGCACTTGCTACAAACTCATGAAAACCAGCGGGGGGGAAAACTCAGCCAGAAGGACGAAGGGTCTCAGCAGGGAGGGAGAAGGCTTAGTTTGAGCAGCAGTAATTAACTCGAGGCCAATTGCAGGCTGCCTCATGCAGCACTGGCCTTCAGGACAGCCTGGACATACACAAGTCACTGTGTGAAACCTGGGTGTCCAGGGGAGCCTTTCCCAGGGGGCAAAGGGAGTTGGGTCCCACCACCAGCCCTGTTCCTCCCTGCTGCGGGTGTGCAGGGTGTTACAGTAGAGTCCTGGGGGCTGGAGCTATTGCTAAGGGCCAGGGATGCAAACTCCAGCTGGAGCCATGTAGCAGACAGATGGATGCATGGAGCTCACCAGGTCTGTCTGAAATCAGAGCAAGGTGGGGAGCACATGTGCATGTACAGCAGGATCCAGGAGAACAGAAGAAGAGTTCAGACAGCGACACCTGGCATCTGCCAAAAAGACACGCTGGCTGTGCACCACAGATAACCAGCCAACCCGCCCTCCTCCAGGGACCAGCCCCATGGGGTGGGACAAGCAGGGGTCCCAGCACGCGGGACGTACTCACCCACAGACTCGGTGTAACCCCTGCAGCTCGATGCCATCTGCCTCTTCATACATGGTCATGCTTTCCCCCAGCTTGAGGACGCAGTCCGACAAGCCTTGGTAAACGTTGCCACAGGCAGTGCCCGATGCGAGCAGCC